TTTTTTCTCAGGATTCCTTTCGGTATTTGGGGTCTTTTGTTGTTCCATATAAATTTTAGGATTCTTTGTTCTATTTCTGTGAAAAATGTTGTTGAAACTTTGATAGGAATTGCACTGAATCTATAGATGGCTTTAGGAAGTATGGACATCTTAACTATGTTAATTCTTCCAATCCAAGAGCATGGAATATCTTTCCATTTCTTTGTGTCTTCTTCAATTTCTTTCAACAATGTTTTATAGTTTTCAGTGTACAGGTCTTTCACCTCTTTGGTTAAATTTATTCCTAGACATTTTATTCTTTTTGTTACAATTGTAAATGGGATTGTGTTCTTGATTTCTCTTTCTGCTACTTCATTATTAGTGTACAGAAACACAACTGATTTTTGTATGTTGATTTTGTATCCTGCAACTTTATTGTATTCATTTATTATTTCTAATAATATTTTGGTGGATTCTTTAGGATTTTCTATATATAAAATCATGTCATCTGCAAAAAAGGGACAGTTTCACTTCTTCCTTTCCAATTTGGATCCCTTTTATTTCTTTTTCTTGGCTGATTGCTCTGGCTAGTTTCCAATACTATGTTATATAAGAGTGATGAAAGTGGGCATCCTTGTCTGGTTCCTGTTATTAAAGGGATACCTTTCAGTTTTTCTCTGTTGAGTGATTTTAGCTGTAGGTTTGTCATATATGGCCTTTATTATGTTGAGGTACTTTCCTTCTATACTCATTTTATTCAGAGTTTTTATCATAAATGGATGCTGTATCTTGTCAAATGCTTTCTCTGCATCTCTTGAGATGATCATGTGATTTTTATTCTTCATTTTGTTGATGTGGTGTATCACATTGAATTGAAGATGTTGAACCAGAATGATGAAAACATTAAAAAATGATGTCACAAGCTCAGTGACATTCCATCTAAATCTCACATTAGTGGCCACTTCCATCACCCTCTACTATTAAAAGTACCCATTTACTCTTCTGCTTCTGTCAACATGAAGTAGATATACTTCATATACTTATTCCTCCTGCTAAGTAGAACTAGAAACCCTGGACATTATATATAAAACAAAAATAAGAAGCTTCTGAAAGGTGGAGAGAAGAGGCAAACTGACTAGGGACCTCAGGACCCAAGGAACAATGTGGTTATGAGTTCCCTTGGGTTTTCATCTTGCCTCATATACCCAGAGTAGATACTAGAGAAGACAGCAACCTGGAAACGCCAATAAGAGCAAACAAAAAATAGTTCCAAAGAAAGCCTGATCTCTAGCCAAAGAACCAAGAAAAGGGCAGCCTAGCAAGATAGAAAACTTTTAGATAGTAACTACTCTACTAAAGTCAAACACCACAAAAAACCTATGATCCCCCCACCCACCATGCAAAGGCTCAGTGGAAAGTCTAAACTTCTACCATTGCTAGGCTACAACAAGGGGCCCTAATCCTCTTGCTGTGGTTGTGTCAGAGAAGGCTAACTGGGGAGACAGGACTTTTCATCCCCATTGGGCAGTAAAAAGCACACCCTGTGTTGTCAGTGGAGCCCATTTTAGGAGCCTGGACATCTACCTTCATCTAGTGGTAACAAGGCATCCTTCCCCTTCTCACTGAGAGAATATTAGAGGAAGCTTACTGGAGGGTCAGGACTTGCACCATGATTCAGTACTAACAAGGCCACATCTACCTGGTATCAGTGTAGGCCACATGGGTAGCAGTAAGGAGGCGCCCCTGCCCCTCCCAGTCAGGGGGTTATCAGCAGAGGCCCAGTGGGCAGCTAGAACTCCCACTCCTGGATAGCAGTAACAGGAAGCTCTGCCTCCCTCCATGAGTGTCAATGGAGACTGGGTGGAAAATCTGAATTTCCACCACCACCTGGAAGTAAAAATGATCCAGAGTCTTAAAACATAATACCCAACATATCCAGATTTCAGTAGAAAGTCACTTATCAAACTAAGAACCAGGAAGATCTCAAACTTAATAAGAAATAACAATCAATATGTGCCAACACACACACAAAAAAAAACACCACAGAAGTCAGAATTATCTGACAAGCATTTTAAAGCAGTTATCATAAAAATGCTTAAATGAGCAATTATGAACATGACTGAAATAAATGAAAAAATAGAATGTATCAGCAAAGAAATAAAAGATACAAAGAACCAAATGGAAAAGATATAAAAATAAAAATGAAAAATTTAATGAGTGGGCTCAATAGCAGAATGGAGGAGTCAGAGGAAAGAATCAGTAATGGCAGATAGAACACTAGACACTACTCAATCTGAAAACAGAGAGAAAATAGACTGAAAAAAAGAAATAAACAGAGCCTCAGGGAACTATGGGCCTATAACAAAAAAGATCTATCATTTGTGTCATCAGAGTCCTGGAAGGAGAGAAGAAAGAGGGCAGAGCTGAAAAAGTATTCAAAAAAATAAGAGTTGAAAATTTCCCAAATTGGCAAAAGACATAAACTTACAGAATCAAGAAACTGAGACTATTCCAAACAGGATAAATCCAAAGAAAGTCATGCCAAAACACAGTAAAACTTCTGAAAACTAAAGACATAGGAAATCCTGAAAGCAGCAAGAAATAAACACCTTACCTATATGCAGAAAAACAATTTCAGTGACTGGTTTTGTCATCGGAAATCATGGATGCCAGAAAGAAACATTTTTCAACTTTAGAAAGAACTGTCAATTCAGAATTCTATATCCAGCAAAGATATCCTTCAGGAATGGAGAGGAAATCAAAGCATTCTCAGATGAAAAAAACTAAAAAGCTTTGTCATCAGTAGACCTATCCTAAAATAATTTAGAAGTTTTCAAAAGAGAAAGGAAATGATAAAAGGAGGAATCGTAGAATATCAGGAAGGAAGAAAGAATACAGTAGAGCAAAAATATGGGTAAATACAATAGACAAATGGCGAGGTCATAGCTGAAGGGTATGGGTTTTCTTTTCAAGGTGATGAAAATTTCTAAACTTGACTGTGGTGACGGTTACATATTGTCTATGAATGTAATAAAAACCATTGAATTATATACTTTAAATGGGTGAATTGTACAGTATGTGAATTATATCTCAATAAAGCTGTCTTAAAAAATCAGTGGTAGCCTGAGGAAAGGGGCACAAGAGAACTTTCTGGGCATGATGGGGAAGTTTTATATCATGGTCTAGGTGATGGTAACATGGGTGTATACACACATTAGTCAAAATTAATCAAGCTACACCTTTACAATTTGTGTACTTACTCTTATGACAATTATACCTCAGTAAAGTATATTAGCATAAAAAATTACTAGGTAATCTCAAATTCCACTCCAAAATGCTTTTTACCAATTTATACTCATACCAATAGTATATTAGAATTCTGGTGTTCCACATCTTACCAATTGTAATACTGATAAGCTGATTGCCTAAATATGGGACCTCATTATGGTTTTAATTATCAATCCGTTAATAGGGTTAGTTGTGTTTTTGGATATTCATATTTCAAAAAATAAGACTTTTCATACCATTTACTCAATGTTCTACTGGCTGGTTTGACTTTTTTGTTTGTTTGTTTGGTGAGGAAGATTGGCCCTGAGTTAACATATGTTGTCAATCTTCCTCTTTTTGCTTGAGGAAGATTGTCACCGAGTTAACATCTGTGCCAGTTTTCCTCTATTTTTCGTAATGTGGGAGGCCACCACAGTGTGGCTTGATGAGCCATGTGTAGGTCTGCACCCAGGATCTGAACCCACAAACCCTGGGCTGCTGAAGCAGAGTGCATGAACTTAACCACTATACCACTGGGCCGGCCCCGACATTTTCTGATCTCTTAGTCATTTATGTATGTTACAAATATCTTCTCTCAAAATGAATCCTGTCTTCTCTATTGTTATGGTGCATTTCAATAATCTAGAAATTTATGATACAGTCAAAAGTAATATTTAATCATGCAATAAGTGTGTGTGTGTGTCTTTTAAAAGAAATATTTCTCTGACAAATGGTTAAGTTTGTCCTCTATATTGTCTTCAATCCTCCTGGAAGTGTATGTATGTGTGTGTTATGAGGTACGAATCCAGTTTTATTTCAAAATTTTCTTTATTTTTCCATATGGCTAACCGGATTTTGTTTGTATCACATATAATGGGTTATTTATGGATTCTTTTTTCTGTTTCTTTAATGAATTTTTTTCTATTTCTATGCCACTTATAAAGTGTCTTACTATTTATAGTTTTATAATAAATCTTGATATCTAGAAAGGCAGAAACCCCATATTTATTTCGATTACTAGTAAAATATAAAAGTAAATCGTGGTGTTAGAGAGAATGTTTTGTAAAGGTGAGGGTTTTTATCTTCAGCTTCCTCAGTTGCTTTTTTACTGTGTCAAATTAGTCACAAGCAAGTTAAAAACATGCATCTTTTTATTTTACAAATTAATTTCTTAAGTGTGAAAATTATTTATTTGCCCTTAACAACATATTCTTTTCCATTTTTGTTCTCCATTCATCTACACATTAATGACTATAGAAGTCTACCAGTGGTACTACAAATTTAGTCTCACCTTCAATTTTTGCATATTATTTTTTTTTTATTTTGACTCGATAATTGCAAATAGGAAGTCAGAGAGGGTTAGAATACCAATGAGTTCCATTGTTTTTTACTCTATTTTGAGGAGTCTTTGATGTCTATCTAGGAAGAGTCATCCTTTTTGACTTGATAGCCTCTGCTTTCTAGCCATTAAATGGGTGCCAAGCTGTGGGTGTAAGGCGACCTGGAAAAATTCTAGGCCAGATTTAAATAGGAGTGACTGCTGGCTTTGTGTTTATAAATTCACATATTTGAATATCTTTGAAGGAGGGAGTTATCTCTAATTATCTATTAATGATTTAGACTTATCTACTGCTTTTTTTAGTTCTTTGTTCTCTAGCTGCTTTGGGAATTGAGTAAACTATGGAAATTATGAATATAGTATAAGTTTAAGAAATGATCCCATAAACATTGAAATCCAGATAATTAAGACTTACCTCTATTTCTTTCCTTAATTTTTCGTGTGTCTTTTTTTCTTCCTCAAGAAAACAGGTTTTTTCAATGATAGACTCTTTTACAGTTATGATTTTATCCTTTAGCTTTGTAATGTCCTCCTGTATATTTATAAAATTTAAAATATACAAGTCAAACAATGAATGGTCACTATAAATCCAAGATTTTCAGTGTTTCTATAATTTAAGAAAACTAGCCATCACATTTAATTTTGAAAAATAGGATTAGACTATCACTTCCATATGTACAAAGAATAAAGAACTGTTATTCAAACAAACTTTAGATTTGAAAACTTAGAACTAAAACCAAATGAAAATAAGACATAAAGGAAAGTGGTAGTTATAGTGGCAACTGCCCAGCAACAGTGTAAAGGATACTTTTAATTCTCTGGCAAGAAATGATAGATTTTTTTTTTTTTTTTTTTTTTTAAAGATTTTATTTATTCAGTTTGTATGTCATAGGTTCACATCCTTCTAGTTGCTGTACGTGGGACTCGGCCTCGCGCTGGACAGAGAAGTGGTGCCTCGCGGCGCACCCGGGATCCGAACCCGGGTCGCCAGCATCAGAGCGCGCACACTTAACCGCTAAGCCACAGAGCCGGCCCAAAAATGATAGATTTTTAAGTTTGTATCTCCCACTGTCTTCAAAGAATAGTAAAAGAAATAGAAGATGCTTAAGGTACAATTATTAATTCATATTGTTTGCATAGCAGCATTAAGTATACTAAATTGATTTGGTCTAGATACATTAGTCTAGAAGCCAGCGCATCAACATTTTTGTGAGTTACACGTTCTGCAACAAATGGATTAACTGTTCACTGTGATTTTGTTTGTCTACATATTTTTATTACTCCACAGAGAATTTGGGGACATTTCCTTTATGCTTTTGCACATTTGGCATAGTTGTTACATATCTCATGTACTTATCCAAGTTTTTAAAAATAGTGAAAATAGTTTCTGAATCTAGTTAAAGCAGCTATGAGTATTTTATTACATTAATGATAAATTTATCACTTAATAAGTGTACTTGCAAAAAAGGAGTAACAGAAAATGTTTTGATAAGTGACATTTCAAACCTGTACTTGTTTCATCCGGTTTCCTTCTGGGTTTTGGAGATCTTGCATAAGTTCCTCTTTCATTGCCTTTAGTTTTTTAACAAGATCTCGTTTTTTCCGGAGTTCAGTCATAAATGACCATTTGCTTTCTATCTCCCCCAAACTATCTTTATGCACTTTTATTTTTGCATGATATTCATTATATCTTATCATGTGTTCCTCAAAGTCTTCTTGGGCTGCTTCTATGTCAAATTTAAGCTTTACATTTTCTGAGTGTAAGGATTTGATTTGAGTTTCCAGGTTTCCACAGTGAAGTTTGGTATTCTCTATGACAGCATCTTGCTGATAAATTTGCCTTTCTGTTTCTTTAGTTTCTGCAGAGACAGATGCTATTTGTTTTTCAAGCTCATGAAGTTCATTCTGTAATATATTTCAACATTATTATTAATTCATGATATTCAACATGAGAGAAAAGTCATTGTTTTGATCCATAGTGCATGTAGGAAAATCACTTAACATAAAAAATATATATTTATCAGATATAGAAAAATTGATGCATAATAGAAGGAAACAAGCAATAAAGCAACAGAATTATTTTATAATCTCAGAAGGAGCCCAAAGTTATATATTTCTTATTTTTTTTTTAATAATTTTATTTATTTATTTATTTCCCCCCCAAAGCCCCAGTAGATAGTTGTATGTCATAGCTGCACGTCCTTCTAGTTGCTGTATGTGGGACGCGGCCTCAGCATGGCTAGAGAAGCGGCCCGTCGATGCACGCCTGGGATCCGAACCTGGGCCGCCAGCATCAGAGCACAAGCACTTAACCGCTAGGCCACGGGGCCGGCCCTATATTTCTTATTTTTTAAAGTTCATCTAATTCTAAATATTAAAATTTATCATTTGTCTTAACATTTTATATATAAAAGATACTTTACAATCATTTTAATAACATATTTATGAGCATTGGAAGTACACACTGAAGAAAGGCAATATGATAAAAATGATAAAGCCTTGGGTTAAAAAACCAAAAGATCTAGGTTCTAGGGCCCTTACTGCTATTTACTAGTTGGTATGATCATACACAGCAAACTTAATTACCCCATCCAAACCTCAATTTCTTCATTTGTAAAATGAGTATAAAGATGTCTGTCTTATCTCTCTGGGGCATTTGGCATTTCTAACCAGCACCTCCTTTTTAAAACCCAGTTTTCACACCACCACTCTTCTCTGGTTCTCCTCAGACATCTATGAGCATTCCTTCTCAATGTCTATGGTTCCTTCAAAGATAGGTCTTCCTCAGGGTGCAGTCGTCATTATTTCCTCCTTTCATTCTACATATACTCCTCGAGTAATCTTATCCATACTTACATCTTGAGCTATGTATATGCTGATGATGCACAGAACATAAGTGGCTGTTGAGTCCTACACCCAGCTGCCACTGGCCATCTGAAATTCATCATGTCCAAAAATCAGACTAATCCTCCCTGTCATCCCATCCTGTTCTTCCTTGTATCAGTTATCCATTGCCAGAACCACAAAACCTCAGTGACGTACAACAGTAAGTGTTTATTGCTCACATGACTGGGAGCAGCTGAGTTGGCTAGATGTTAACCTTGGTTGGATTTGCTCAAATGTCTGGGGGTTGGCTGGCTGGAAGATGACTGGCTGACTGGGCTGGCTGGGTGCCTTGGCTTTGCTTCACACGTATCTTAACCTCCAGTGGGCCAGGTCAGGGATGTCCCTCTCATGATGACAGTGGATGCAGAAGAATGGAAGCTCAATTATGTTAGAGCTTTTTCAAGCTTCTGTTTCAACAACATCTGCTAAAATCCCAGCTGGTCATATGATGAAAAGCACAGTCAAAGGGTAGAAGTATGCTTACTCACTAAGAAGGATATTGTAATGATACATGGCAAAGGGTGTAGATATACACAAGGATAAAGAATTGGGACAAAAAATGCAAATTACCACACCCCTATTTTCCCAGAGTAATTAACAGTACTACTTTGGGAGCCACCCTTAATTCCTCCCTTCTCTTTATTATCCGTGTCTAACTATTCATCAAATTCTATAGATCCTCCCACCAAAAAAACTCTGCAGGCCAGCCTCCATCCCTTTTTTTTTTTCTATCTAGTAGGTCATCCTCTTTAAATAAATTTATAATTTTGAGAGGGAGGCACTGCACTAAAAAGGCAGACCCCACCTATCCTTTTCCTGGCAGAGACAAGACAGGGAAGTACTGTGAAAAATACAACATGCTGATGAGTCTCAATTTTTATCTCCAGGTCTGATATTTCAAATGCCCACTTGCCATTTGTATTTACATATTTTAACAGACATCTCAACTACCCATGTTTAAAAAAGAAAATTTAATTTACATACCCAGCATATTCCTCCCCAGTCTTCCTGATTTCAATAAACTGTACCACTTTCCACCTGGATACTCAAAAACCTAGAAGCTATTCTTGATTCTTTCCTTTACTTTAGCCCCCACAACCTACTGACTAGCAAATCTTGATGGTTGGGGCTACGAAATAAAATCCTAAATTCACTTCTGACCAATCTTTGTAGTGTGGCCTAGCTTCTACCAGGTCTCCCTGTTTCCATTCTTCCCCCTCTCCCCCAACTAGGCTCCATATATTAGGCAGAAGAATCTTCAAAAAGCACAAATCATATGATGTTACTTCCCTGCTCAAGATCCTCCAATGGTTTCCTACTGCACTAACAATAAAATTCAGATTCCTTACTGTGGCTTACAAGGCCTTATATGCTTTAGTTCCTATCTGCTGTGCCATCCTTCTCATGTACTACCCTCCCCTCTTCCAGCCTCCTTTCTGTTTATTAAATATGCCTAGTTCCTTCCCACCTAAGGGCATTTGAAATTGTTCTCTCTACCTTAGAATTCTCCACCCATAGTTATTATCTGTTGGGGTCAAATTCAAATAATAAAAAATTCAGTTTTGTTATTACCTCAGAACAGTCTTCCCTGAATCAACATATAAATTAACCACCCCTCCTCCTCCTCAAGTTACTCTCTACACATTATCCTGTTGTATTTCCTTTGTAACACATCAATCAATGGAATTACCTTCTTTTTGTTTATTTCTTTATTGCCTGCCTCCCTGACTAGAAAGTAAGCCTCATGGGTGCAGTAACCCTGTCTCTCCTCTTTACCACTATCTTGCTTAAAATAGTACCTGGTGCAAAGTAGGTGCTCAGTAAATATTTATTAAATGAGTGAATGAGTGATGCACAGGGACACATGCCCTGCCAGCTAGATCAGGCTGTTGACCGTATTGATCAAAATGAGGAGAAATGACATTTCCACTGATTTGGCCATCATCTCTTCTCTTTCCTGGACTAATGTAATACATTATTAACTTTTCTCCCTGACTTGAGTCCATTCCTCCTTCAATCAATTTCTACTCTTTCACTAGAATTATATTTCTTGTTGTTGTTACTGCTTTCCTCCCCTCCCCCCATCCCATTCCCCTCTTCTTTCTTCTTCCTGCTTCTTCCTTCTCCTCTTCCGCATCCCCCCTCCCTCTTCTTTTTTGTGAAAAATAGATTTATTGAGGTATAATTGATGTAAATAAACTGAACATATTTAAACTTTACAATTTGATGAGTTTTGACTTACTTTTATGCTCATGAGACCATCACAATTAAGATAAACATATCCATTACCCACAAAAGTTTCCTCCTGGTGCTTTGCACTCCATCCTTCCCTCCCCATCTCTCCATTCCCAGGCAACTATTCATCTGCTGTATGTCACTAAAGATTAGTTGGTACTTTCAAGAATTTTATATAAATAGAATCTCACAATATATACTTGTTGTTGTTGTTGTTGTTGAGGAAGATTTGCCCTGACCTAACATCTGTGCCAATCTTCCTCTATTTTGTGTGTGGGTGGCCACCACAGCATAGCTGATGAGTGGCATAGGTCTGTGCCTGGGATCCAAACCTGCGAACCCAGGCTGCTGAAGCAGAGCGTGCTGAACTCAACCACTACGCCATGGGGCCAGGCCCCCTCATATACTTTTTTAGTCTCACTTCTTTCAGTGTAATTATTTTGAGATTCATCCATGTTCTTGTACACATCAGTAGCTCTTCCTTTTCACTGCTTAGTAGTATTCCATTGTATAGATATACTACACTTTATTTATCCATTCATCTGATGGGTATTTATGTTGTTTCCAGTTTTCCAGTGAGCATACACTTTAATTTCTCTTGGATAAATAAATATCTAGAAGTTGAAAGACTGGGTTATATGGTAAATATATTTTAACCTTTTAAGAAACTATAAACTGTTTTCCTAAGTGATGGTATCATTTTATATTCCAAATAATGGGGTCTGAGTGTTCCAGTTCTCCCATATCTACACCAAACTCGGTATAGTCAGTCTTTTTCAATTTAGTCATTCTAGTGAGTATAGAGTGATATCTCATTGTGATTTCAATTTCCATTTCCTTAATGATTAATGATATTGAATATCTTTTCATGTGCTTGTCTTTTGTAATATCTTCTTTCATGAAATGACTATTCAAATCGTTCACCCATTTTTTCATTGGGTTGTTTGCCTTTCTTGAGTTGTATGAGTTCTTTATGTAGTGTAAATATGAGTACATTGTCAGATGTGTTTTCAAATATTTTCTGTCTGTGACAACTCAAATGTCCATAGGGCCCCAGCAAGTATATCTTCCATTAATTTTCATAACTGTCTTTTGAACAGAAATTAAAAAATATTTTTTTAAATTTTTGCATCCTATTTAAGAAATCTTTGTGAAAACCAGTATCACTAAGCTTTTCTCCTAGATACTTAGTAGTTTTAATTCTTACATTTAGGCCTATGATCCATTTTGACTTAATTTTTCTGTGTGGTATGAGCTAAAATGTGAGGCTCACTTTTTTGGTATGTGGCTGTCCTCTACCATTTGTTGAAAGATTATCCTTTCTCTAATGAATTGTCTTGGCATCTGTTTTAGTCAGCTTGGGCTGCTATGAAAAAATACCATAGACTTAGTGGCTTAAACAACAGAAATTTATTTCTCACAGCTCTGAAGGCTGAAAGGGTATCAGCATGGTTGGATTCTGGTGAGAGATCCTTCCTGGCTTGTGGACAGCTCTCTTCTCACTGTGTCCTCACATGGCAGAGAGAGCGAGCAAGCGTAGTGTCTCTTCTCTTTTTATATCATGAAGGCCTCACTCTCATGACCTCATCTAGGCCCAATTACTTCCCAAAGTCCCCATCTCCAAATACAAATTAAATTTTAATTTATGATTGTTTTTTTCAATATATAGAAATACAATTAATTTTCATATATTAATCTTGTCTCCTTCAGTCTTTCTAAACTCACTTATTAGTCCTAATAGTTTTTTTTAAATAGAATCCTTAAGATTTTCTAAAGGTAATCATGCCATATGTAAATAAAAACAGTTTTACTTCCTCCTTTCCAATATGGATGCCTTTTATTTATTTTTCTTGCATGACTGCACTGGCTTAAACCACCAGTACCATAGAATGACCAGAAGTGGTAAGAGCACATATCCTCACCTTGTTCCTGATCTTAGGAGAGAAATATTCAGTCTTTTACCATTTGATATAAAGTTGGCTGTAGGATTAATGTAGGGATGTAGATGCCCTTTTGTAGATTGAGGAAGTTCTCTTCTATTCCTAATTTGCTGAGAATTTTTATCATGAATGGATGTTGGATTATGACAAGTGTTTTTATGCATCTAGAATTCTCTTTCTAACACATAAATTTAATCATTTGCTCCCTTGCTTAAAGCCCCTCAAAACCTTCCCATCACCTTTAGAATAAAGTTTAGATTTCTTAGCATGGTATATATCTCCCACCACTTCTCAAAACACACTCTATACTGTACTACCACCAAACTACATATAGTTCAATGAATGTATCAATGCTATTTCAGGCCTTTGTGAATTTTTCCAGTTTCTTTTTGACTGGAATATCATCCTTCTCATCCCCTAACCCTTAAGCCTGTCCCAGACACCATTCAAGTGAACTCTAGCTGTCCTTTAAAACTCAACTGAAACGTCACTTTTTTTGTGATCACTTCTTCACTGTTAAATCTGTGTTCATGCCTCTATTGTTGACACTACTACCCTGCATATAATTATTTGTTTACTTCTTTGTCTCCCTCTTCAATAGATGGTGAGCTACTTAAGAGTGATGACAATGTTTAGCAAGATGCTTATTAGAAAGTAGGCCCTCAATATAAGTGAAATAACATCACTTTGAAACTCTTTGAAGACTGAGAAGTTTTACAGAAAATTTATTTTATTTTTTTATTTGATTTTATTTTTGTGAGGAAGATCAGCCCTGAGCTAACATCTATGTCAATTCTCCTCTTTTTGCTGAGGAAGACCAGCGCTGAGCTAACATCGATTGCCAATCCTCCTCCTTTTTTTTCCCTTTTTCTCCCCAAAGCCCCAGTAGATAGTTGTATGTCATAGTTGCACATCCTTCTTAGTTGCTTTATGTGGGACGCCGCATCAGCATGGCCGGACAAGAGGTGTGTCGGTGCACGCCCAGGATCTGAACCCCGGGCCACCAGTAGTGGAGCGCGCGCACTTAACTGCTAAGCCATGGGGCTGGCCCCCAGAAAATTTCTTTATTGAAATCTAAGACATTATTATTTTTGTATTATATTCTATTGTAAAAATGTATCCTTTCCTAAAAGTGACTAATGCAATGCAAATATTTATAAGAAATCCATATTACCATGATAACATAATTATCATATCTCTGATGATGTATTAATATCTAAACCCAATGTCAAAATCCAGGCCTATATTGTCCACCAGAGCCCCAGCAAGAATACCTTACATATATTTACAAGTATTAATTCATTTAATCCTCATGAAAACCTTATAAGTAGGTCCTATTATTATCTCCATTTTACAAATATGAAAACAGAAGCACAGAGAAATTAAACCATGGAGCTAGAAGTAGCAAATCTTGTCTTTCAAACTAGGCAGTTGGGCTCTAGAGCCTATTCTTTTCATTTCTATGATATATTTAATAAAAGAACCTTTACAAAGCACATAGTAAAGATACTATTTCCATTTTTGCTTCTTTAGCTATATTAACAGAGTACAGTTATATCTAATTATGCTGCGTGCAAAAACCAAGTATGGCTTCAAGATTCCCTGTAGTGGAATTATGAATATATTATGAAATATAAGGAACACAGAAATGTTCTTTATCTACTTGAAATGTTCACTGACAATAGTAATTCACAAGCCATAGCTTTAAAACACTGGCTTAAAAACTTAATCTTCCTTCAATTCAGCATTTTAGGAAAAACTACCAAATAGAAGTGAATTTAAAATAGTTCTGTGTGACACGTTGGGTTTTATATGCTCATACTACAGTTGCAATGACATTGTTGAATCTTTGTATACTGAATGTGTAAAATGTTCCATGAAACTGGAACGCTCATATAGACTTCACTTAGGGATAACAGAATAATTAAGGAGTAAATATGAAAAATAAGAGTTGAAAATTGTATCCCCAAATTAAGTATCCTTAATAACTTCTCTGTTATTTAATATAGTTTTGAAGGAAGTAAAGACTCACTTAAAAGACTGTATGAAATAGGTTACCTGCAAATGGAACAGAACTTTTTTGTTTTTTTCTATTTCTGAGGTTTGTGACTGTTGTTGCTTTGCCACTTGCTCTACAGCATCGGTTAATGAAGATGTGTCTTGTTTAGCCACAGCTAGACAAAAGAATAAAGTACATAATAAAAATTTAAATGCAGACATTCTAAGAAAGTTATGCTTCTTTACTCAAAATCATGAAAAATTTGATATTTTCTCATAAGTAAACTACATTTAGGATTGGTAATCTTCCCTTTCTGACTATAAACAAAACCAAAATCAAAGGCAATAATAATAGACAATTCAAAATTGCCTATTGCAATGTTATACTTATTCCTTTATGGAACAATATAAATATTTTGATTGTCCTAATTTTTTTTATCCAGGCCACTTGCACATATACTATAATTACAGTGCTGCCATAACAACTATATAGCAATTACAGTTGATGAATTTTCATTATAGGCCTTCATTTTCAGGTTGTTATGCCTTTTCTAAACACTGTATATGTTTCTTCCTGGCAAAATTTAACAGCTTCCCTCTATTCTAATTTGCTATCAATTTTAACACAATTATCCTACCATACTACTGTGTTCTTGCTTATCTTTTAATTATTTATTTCCTAAGAATCCTTCATTACCTTCTTCAGGAACCTCTTGACTCTTCCTTTCTTTGTTGCCTGACATTCTTGTGTGCCTGTTTTCCCCTTTTTGGTTCAGCTTCTTTACTCCTACAAAATAACCAATGTTGACAATCTTTCACTTTTATTTTTTCCTTTCAAGTACTGGTGATCCTGAAAGTAAATTGTCAAATACCTCCTAGGGATGACAATGACATTTCATCATTAGTTCCAAGAATTAAGTACAATGGGTAAGTGAGAGATTTTTGGAGGAAAGTAGAACTGTATCTGAATCTTGGTTCTCCTGCTTTTCAACTGTTATGACCTTGAGCAAATTTCTTAACTTCTTTGATCATCAGTGTCCTCACCTGTAAAACCTCACAGGGCTGTTGTAATAATTAAAGTAATATATGTAACATGCTTAGCACAATACCTGACATATATAGTGAGTAGTTAATTATTATGGATTGGTAGCCAGTACTTCCTGTACTGTGATGAAATGGATTCTGAAACTATAACCAGAATCAGTGAGAAACAGTGCCAAGATGGATTAGCAATTCCTGCCATGGGTCTAGGATGTAAGGAATATAGCACTTCTGTCCAGCACTATTCTGGCCAGGGTAAGCACTGCGCAGGTTTAAAATCATATTTCAATCTTTTTTTGTTTGTTTGTTTTTGTGAAGAGATTAGCCCTGTGCTAACATCTGCCAATCCTCCTCTCTTTTTGCTGAGGAAGACTGGCCCTGGGCTAACATCGTGCCCATCTTCCTCTACTTTATATGGGATGCTGCCACAGCATGGCTTGCCAAGCAGTGTGTCCATGTGCGCCCGGGATCCGAACCGGCGAACCCTGGACTGCCGCAGCGGAGCACTCGCACTTAACGGCTGCACCACCAGGCCAACCCTCAATCTTTTCTATATCTAGGAGTAACTGACAAGATGAAGGGGTAGATATTTTTCTTCCTTGAAAGAAGGAGAGAAAGAGTTCCTTCCTGTAGCAACACAGCAAATGAATGCTGAGTCGGCAGAGTTTAAGGCATTAACAGCTTTAGGGAAAAGGGTATCTGAATTTGCCTGTCCATTCCTACATAAAGGAAATCCTACAATTTTGCGTGATTAATAAAAAATTTACTGTTGTTAAATACTTCGGAAATTGTCATCTCCTATTTAACATTCGAACATACAGATTTTTTCTATTTAGATGACATCCTTTTTAAAAAAAATCTTAGTTGATTTTTATAGAACCTGTGAATCTTTCCAAGCATACTAAAGTCATGATAAACTTTGCAAGCCAAAAGAAGTGAAATATTATCATAACAGCAAGGCACGTGTAAAGAAGCTTCCACAAGGAAATCTGAAAAATCACTAAACATCTTTCCTAAAGGTTGGTTAAATTCAAAGTGTTGTATACTAGTTACACGTGTTTTCCAAAAACAAAATTTTAAAGGATCGAAACTTTGATACATAAGCAAAAAGGAAAGAACAACAAAGTTGAATTGCTTCCTAAGTCAGAAGACTCAAATCTGTCCAGAAATGTTATCAAGCTAAAGAAATCAGGAGAGCTTAACTCAGCAGGGGGTCATAATCACCCCTGAGAATTGACGATTCTTTCCTGTTTCTTCACATCACTTCTTTCCTTCAATCTCACTTCAAACTTGCCTCTTTTATGATGTCTTCCCGGATACTGAGCCTATTCACACTGTTCATGCCATTAATCTATGTCCTTTCTGCTTAATATGCAGACTGCCCCAGATTAATGCTAATAAATTCAAATCTGATTTTCTCTCTAGATCTTTTGTATGGGTTCCATTGTCACAGACTTCATCCTTAATTCTACCTACCTATCTTGAAAATGCATGCCCTCTACATTTATACTTCCAGTTAGTTCTCTCAATTGATTACAATGGTAAACATACAGTGCTTACTTTGTGCCAGACACTGTTCTAAGTGCTTTAGATAAAAAATAACAAAAACAAACATTATATAGTGATTATTCTGTGCCATGTGTAAGAACTTTATAAATATTAACTCATTTAATCCTATGGAGTAGATATTATTATAATTTTCATTTTACAGGGAAATGGAGTGAGCAGAGATAAAAAAATTTACCCAAAGTCAGATAGCTATTAGTGTCAAAGATTTGATTTGAATTCACGTAGTTTGGCTTCAAGGTTCATGTTCTTAACCAGTATGCTAGACTACCAAGATTATAATTTTTTTAAAGGGGAGAGCCATGTCTTTACATACCACTCCAGAATTCCAGCTACTTTTGTATTCCTGTATTGCTAAAACACCACTTTAATCAACCCTCTCCTTTCCATTCCCACGACTACCCACATTTCTTCATAGGGGAACTGTTTCAGTAAAGTCCTCTGATGGAACTGCTGCAGTTCCTATAGACCTCCAGTTGGCACTATTGAAGAGGAGACTCAGTGAGTTCTTCATGCTCCTGGGAAGTTCCTTCCAGGTAAGTTACCTTTCCGGTGAGTCCTCCTCTTTCTCTCTCCCCCAAATCATAGTGTCATCTCCACAATCTGCGTAAGACACCGTAGGCACTATTCCCATTATACCCTACATCTCTGTTAACTTCAGTCTCCAGGAGAAGCCTAAGACTCCCAGGTCATTCCTCATCATGAAGACCCATCCTTATCAGGCTCGGTAAGTCCCCTAATTTAATATGTTACCAACTCCCCAGTTCTTTTATATCCTTCCATTGTGACCCCTGGAAGTCTTGATCCATCTTCAGCAAACTCCTCTCTATTTTCAACCTCTTCAGTGAACTTTCCCTTTACCTTTTTGTTCTAACTGAAATCCTCCAAAGATACCGCTTCCTCATTCTCAAGCTACTAAGTCTGGAGGTGAGCCACTTTTCCTGTTTTCCATTACTAGTGCCAAACTATTATCCTCTCTTCTCTGTAAAACCACTTAGTTTCTTGGAAGTTCATGCTATCAGACTATATAAGCTTTGCCCTTCTTTGTTGTTATTAATTGACTTCCAGATCTCCACTCCTCACTCCTAGATTATAGCATCTGACTCACTGTCTCTATTACTACTTTTCCTATATTTCTTTGGGATTTCAGCATCCATACAGATGGCACTCCTAATACCCTGACCTCTCAGTTCTTTGAGGTCTTCTCTCATCCTTCCTCCCCAGCCACCCACAGATCATAACTACACCTCATCCATAATCTCAGATTCAAACTCTTGTTTTTCATTTTCAGCTCATTCCTCCTAGTATTTTGACTATAAAAGCTGTTTGACCACATTGAGTCTTCTAGGTTTTCATGATCCCCCAGCCCCTCATGTATTCACTTTACTCCTTTCCCGGCTTAGATTCCTCTGCATTCATCCTTACTTTCATCTCTCCCTGTCTTACTTCTCTGGAAAAATCCCAACCAGTTGCTTTGTTTACACTCTAGTAGCTGAATATTCCTAAAGAAAAATGCACACCTGTGCTGTGCTCTCACTTTAAATTCAAGACTATTTATATCAAGAAGGCCCTTGATGTGACGCCCTTAGGATTCACCAAGTTTCATAGATGAGTATTTCACTCCTCCTTGTCTTCAAACCTCCCACATCTCTTTCTCCCTCCTCTTTCATTTGATAACCGAGCTTCTTATTTAACTGAGATAGGAGAAAAAATCAGAAAGGATGGTAAATCACCCCATCTACCAGTCTTCCTGCACCTATACCCATATACTAGTCTATCTTTTCCTTGCAATGAATAAAATGTCCTTGCTTCTATCTAAAGCCAATCCTCTATTTTTGTACTCCTTTCTCCCCTACTCAAAGACATTACTCCTTCAAATGTTCCATCAACAGAATTTCCTTCTTTACTTGGTCAAACATTATCCCCCAACAGCCCATCATAAAATCAACAACAACAATAACCACCCTTGCTTGACACAATAATCCCCTGCAGCTATTGACTCATTTGTTTGCTCTCCTTTATAGCTAATATCCTTGCTATTTCCTCTTCTCTCATTCTTCTTGAACACATTAGAATTAATCGTTCCCACTCTACCTTTAAAGTTATTATCAAAGTATCTATGACCTCCACATTGCCACACTCAATGGGCAAGTTCAGTCCTCATGTTCCTTGACCTATCCACATCATTCAACACATTTGATCATGCCCTCATTCTTGAAACACTTACTTCTTGGTTTCCTTTGCTAGTTCCTTCTCATCTTTCCCATTTATGTGAGAGTGTTCTAGTGCTCAGTCCTCAGGCCTCTTCTTTTCTCTATACTTATTCAGGTGATGTCATCCAGTTGTATAGCTTTCAAATCCACCTATAGGCTTTATCCTATATCTCTATTTATATCTCTAACTTGAACATCCATCTGGAGCTCCAGAATCATACCAAATTGCCTACCTGATGTCTTCACTTGGATTTTTATAGGCATTTCAACTTAATATGTTCCAAACTGAACTCTTGATTTTTCTATCCACTCTATCACCAACACTAAATCTGCTCCTGGATTATCTTCTCCATCTCAGTAAATTACAAGTTTTTCTTGTTCAGTCCAAAACCCTGGAGACATTAGCAGGGAGGTCTCTAGAAAGCTGTAGAGCCTAGGGCAATTCAACCAGACTTACCCAAGATAATCATAAATGAGAGCTCATTATTGATGTTTCACAGGCCCTTTGGAAAATCCTTTAAGACACTCTCCAATTATGTAGCCCAGGACTGCTGCCTCAATTGTTTTACCCAAAGGGCAAGCCATTCATAATCTTGACTTTTCTTTCTCTTACATGCTCATGCAATTCTTTTAGTGAAACTTATTTGTTCCACCTTTAAATTATATTGGAATCCACTCACTCCTTACCACTTCCAAATACTACATTAGTAGAGAAGCCTTCCCTGACAACTCTCTCTAAAATGTGACCTCTCCTCCTTCATCCTCCATTTCCTTTCCTTGCTTCATTTTTCTTAATAGCATTTATCACCACTGACACCTTATATACATTTGTTTCTTTTCTATCTCCTTTTACTAATGTAAGCTCATGAGGGCAGAGACCTAAAACAGTGCCCGGCACATAACAGGTGCCTAATTGTAGTCTGTCTCCACTCCAATTCACCCTGTTCTGCTGACAGAATGGTGCTCCTAAAATACTGTTCCATTCATGTAAACATCATAGCCAATCTTTCAACTCCATCTTAGATGGCATCTTCTTTATGAAGTCTTTCTTGATCTTTCTGGGTAGATATGATCTCTCTCTCTCTTTAGGACAAATGTTTCTATATCTCTGATGGATATCAGTATAGGTCCTAGAGTAAGACAGAGCTAATTTTGAATTCAGTTTTGTATCACTTACTAGTTTATTAGGTAAATTCTTTCAAATTCAGTCCTCACATTCTTTATCTGTAAAATGAGAACAAGAGTAGTACCTGCCTCATTAGGATTTTTGTGAAGACTAAATGAAATAATGCATTTAAAGCATTTAGCAAATTTCTGCCACTCAACAAATTTTTATTCTTATTATTTCTATTCTTTTATATAATATTTCCCCATTAGACTATAAGCTCCAGGAAGGCAAATACAGTGTCTTACTTATTTTTGTATTCCCTACAGAATTTGCTGAAGAAACCTAAAAAATGAAGAAAGTTAAATTCATATAATAAAAAATAAAGTAACTGGTACTTCTTGATGTCTATTTCTGAAGCAACATAAATTGAAGAACTCTTAGGTGATATTTATTTAAACCAATTATTCATGAAAGGATATCCGCTTTAAAATTGGGAGAGTTTTAGTTTCTTCTGGATCTCTGTTGTAGAATGGACAAAAAATAAAAATGAAAACAAACTACTGCCATCTACTGATAACTCATTACAATTGCACAAATCAATGAAGAGTTTAGAGACTAGACAATATCAATTACTTTCATTCAAACCACATATGTGGGCACATATTTCAGACCTTTCTCAACTTATGATGGGGTTATGTCTGATAAACCCATTGTAAATTAAAAATGTAAGTTGAAAATGCATTTAATACACTAACCTACTGAACATCATAGCTTAGCCTAACCTAACTTAAACATGATCAGAACGCTTACATTAGCCTGCAATTGGGCAAAATCATCTAACACAAAGCCTATTTTATACTAAAGTGTTGAATATCTCATGTAATTTACTGCATACTGTACTGAAAGTGAAAACCAGAATGTTTGTATGGGGACAGAATGGTTGTAAGTGTATTGGTTGTTTACCCTCGTGATTGCAGGGCTGACTGGCAGCTGCGGTTCGCTGCCTCTGCCAGGCATCACGAGAGAGTATAGTACAGCATATTGCTAGCCCAGAAAAGATCAAAGTTCAAAATCTGAAGTATGGTTTCTACTGAATGTGTATTGCTTTCACACCATTGTAAAGTAAAAAAATCCTAAGTTAAACCATGGTTAACTCGGGGACCATCTGTATATGCAAGGCATGGTGGGGAATATAAAGATGAATTAAGTGACTCCGATTCCAAAAAAAAAAAACCTTACAATACCTACAGTATTTGATAGTAAATGTCCAAACTTATATATAAAACACAATCATTTAGAAAAAATACTTTCAACTGAAAAAAAGCAACTTTATAGAAAACGATGCAATGGAAATACTATAATAAAATATCATTCTTCTATATTAACTATAGTCAACATTTGTTGAATATTTACAAGTGACTAGCACTGTTCTAAGCACTTTTACATGGTTTATCTTTATTATCTCAGAGCAATCCTACAAGCTAGATATTATTTTTACCTATATTTGGTAAATAAATAAGACAAAGAAATTAGAAAATTCACCAAAGTTCACATATCCAACAAGTAGGAAAGATGGAATTTGAAGCAAGTGGATCCAAATTAACATTAGGCACTTAATATTACTAAAGCACTGTGATAAGCCTGATTTGTGCATTATCTCATTTGAGTTCAAGAGGCAAGCCTCTAGGGCTGGCCCCGTGGCTTGGTGGTTAAGTGCGCGGGCTCTGATGCTGGTGGCCCGGGTTCGGATCCCGGGCGCGCACCGAGGCACCACTTCTCCGTCCATCCTGAGGCCGAGTCCCACATACAGCAACTAGAAGGATGTGCAGCTATGACATACAACTATCTACTGGGGCTTTGGGGGGAAAAAAAAAAAAAAAAAAATCTTTAAAAAAAAAAAAAAGAGGCAAGCCTCTGTATTCCACCCTTGGGAGGAGATTTTAAAGGGGACATGGTTCAAGCTTTTGGAAACTTATCATCTGGTACCTCCCTCACAGCTAATGAGCAAAATAAAGCAAGGCTGTCGAATTCCACTGAGGCTTTTGAGAGCTTTCGACTTAGAAGAATTAAGAGGCAGCAATCATATATGTGCACCCATGTCACATAAGCACCGTTTTTCATTCTGAATGGAAAAAGCTGCTGTGTGGATCTGCCAGGTAGTTAAAGTAGTTAAGGTTATAATTTCATCTTACCCTCTTTAAAACAGATATTTTATCAGAAAACAGGGAAAGAAAAATTATGTAGATACCTTTCATATAAAGGTGAAATTTTTGTTTTTGTTTTCTGCGTGGGAGGGGGAGTTGAAAGCTGATGTTTCACTGAGGAAGCTAAAAAATTAACCTGGAGAAAGATGAGATAAAAGAGTTTCCTGGAATCAAGCAAATTTTAAATTATGGTTTATATCTGTCATAAACATGATGGAATCAGATCTGGGTGGTTCAATTCCAACAAATAAAATAAAGATAATGGGAAAAATGTGACATACTGCACAAATGAGTAAGAATCAATAATACATACTTCAGATGAAAAAAGACTGTACGTCTTTTCAACCACATGTTTTCAATAGAAGTTATAACATGATCAGAGTCGTCTGAAAGGAATTAATTAGTTGAATAATTAAAAATTTATTGCAACAACATGGATGGACCTGAAGGGTATTATGTTAAGCGAAATAAGCCAGAAAGAGAAAGATAAACACTGCGTGATTTCACTCATAAGTGGAAGATAAACCAACACACAGACAGAAAGAACTTTTTGGCGGTTACCAGGGGCAAGGGGGGGTGGGGGGTGGGCACAAGGAATGAAGGGATGCATTTATATGGTGACTGACAAACAATAATCTACAATCAAAATTTCACAATAAAAAAAAGTTCACACACAAAATTTATTGCATACCTATTATATATCAGTGTCTTAGGATCTGCTAAGACTAAGGATTACTGTCTTCTCTGACTAAGCAGCAAGATTAAAGTTTCAGGATGCTGAAAACAGAAAGAAACCAGAGGATTTGTACTGTTCCTTAACTTCCTATCAAAGACAATATAGGCAACATTCATATACTACCCACATTGCTTCTAGCTTTCTACCAAAGGTGGGATTTCTCTGAATGTAACAACAGTACTGGACTACCAAAATATCTCATTTTGGGGTGCAGACATACAAAGATTGGTCTGCAGCTCGAATCCAAGCTTTAAGGGATAGGCCTTAAATGATAGGCCTTTGGTGAAATCCATTCATAATCTGCCCACTTGTCTCATTCAGGACAGCAAAAGGCAAGGTCTTTTTTTACTCTATATACAAGTAAATATGATTTCTAAACCAAGAGGAGCTTGTAGTGGATTGAATGGTAGTCCCCGCAAAAATATGTCCATGTACTAATCCCCAGAACCTGTGAATGTGATCTTATTTGGAAAAATGGTCTTTGCTGATATAATTAAGAATCTCCAGATGAGATCACCCTGGATTGAGGGTGGGCCCTAAATCCAATGTCAGGTGAGAGACTGAATATGCAAAAAACAGTGCCCAGACCATATATAAATATAGAACTCAGACCCACAACCTGCAGCAACCAACCCAAGAAATCAACCCGTTATCTACAGTAGCCAACCCAGGAAGCGATCCTGCTATCTGTAAGTAAGACTTGTAGGACATCAGACGACTATCTCTAATAACAATTCAGGAAGCCAAACAATAACTCCTGTAACAATTGGCCCCAAATGGCCAGTGCTTGATTAATAACTGACAGCGTCCCTAATTTTTGTCCCTACTTCCAACTTGGGACCAACCAGAGAAAGCCAAACATGCATCCTTAACCAATCACATAGGATGCCCTGCTTGTAGTTAGCCCACCTACAGCTTCCCTATGCCAACAGCCTCTAATCAGGGCACACCTGAAGATTTCCCTTTTTTCCACTATAAAGCTTTCCCACTCCTCTGCCTGCCTTTGAGTCTCTGTCAAAACACAAGTGATGGTGGCTGACTCCCTTGCTATAGCAAGCTCTGAATAAATCGCCTTTGCTTGTTCTCATATAGTTGGCCTGTCCTTTTTTCCACACAGGTGTCCTTATATCAGAAAGGTAGAGGGAGACTTGAGATTCAGACATACATTAAGAGACCATAGGAGGATGGAGGCATGGAGCCCCAAGGCATGCAGCCTCAAGTGAAGGAACACATGGGGCCACCAGAAGCTGGGAGAGGCAAGGAAAATGAGACACTTTGAAGGGAGCATGGTCCTGACAACACCTTAATTTGAGACTTCTGCTTCCATAACTATGAGAGAATACATTCTTGTTGTTTTAAGCCATCGTTTGTGGTAATTTGTTATGGCAGCCTTAGGAAACTAACACAAACTTTTATCAAGGGAATTTGCATGTTATATGCTTTTTTCTGGAAGGACCAATAAACCTTAGCGTAAACGGCTTAAAAACAACTGTTCACAGTTTTTAAAAACTCCACTAGTTCTCATGAGAAGAAGAAAGATTTACATGGAGATGTAAAAATGGGCATTTCCCCAATGGTTCCCCTTAAAAGCCAGGCAATATCTTTCCCCTCAAAATGCTCTCAGTCTCTGTGAGGGAGATAGACACACAATCAAATAACTAAAATGTAGAGGTACAGTAGACGTTCTCTTAGTATATCTACACTAAACCTCTAAACTAACTCATTCTGTTTCCTTTGTAAATCATAAGCTGCTAATTCCCCTATCATGCTGAATGCTCATGGTTAGGAAGCTACTCTCTCATGAGTCTGCCCACTTCTCCTATCAGTTGAATTGTACAATCTGACAATGAGTTACTTGTGTTTGTTCTCAAACCTGTTTATGCCAGTTGTACTTGTTATTGTGCTTTCATAATTTAATTAAATATTATGTAAACCAATGAAATAGTGTGGAAATAAAGTTTGTTGTTTCTTTAAAATCTGCTTAATATTTTGGAAAGACTCAATAAAGGTGAGTTGTTTGAATGTGTGAGATAACTATAAAAGATTATAAAGAAGAAATCTGCACTCAGCTTCACAAGTGCCTTTATTTTCCTTTTAAAGGAAAGAAATAGTGGGAAATCTGAGCTGATGGTTTAGAGGTATAGTTTATGCAAGAGATACAATGCAGAACTCTAGTCAGCAGACCATGTGCCAGGAAAAGGCCTTGGACTTTCTCAATAGATTGGCAAATGAGCATGGAGTTGTTTTAGGTTAAAACAAAATGTTTAAAGTATTTATGCTATACTTTTTCATGACTCTCTGGTTTAACTGACTTCTTTTTGGGGGGGGGGGGAAGATCAGCCCTGAGCTAACATCCATGCTAATCCTCCTCTTTTTGCCGAGGAAGACCGGCTCTGAGCTAACGTCTACTGCCAATCCTGCTCCTTTTTTTTTTTTCTCCCCAAAGCCCCAGTAGATAGTTGTATGTCATAGTTGCACATCCTTCTAGTTGCTCTATGTGGGACGTGGCCTCAGCATGGCCGGACAAGCGGTGCGTCGGTGCGTGCCTGGGATCCGCCAGCAGCGGAGTGGGTGCACTTAACTGCTAAGCCAGAGGGCCGGCCCTAAACTGACTTCTTTTTAAAACAGCTTTACTTAGAGATAATTTATATACCATCGAGTTCATCCTTATAAAGTGTACAGTTCAATGTTTAATCGACTTTTTCAATTATTGCTTGGCTATGGGTCCAGACCGCATCTATGAGAGGCCTTCTTTTGTATGAACAAAATGCTAAAGAAGCAATTAATTCTGCTTGGTCAGGGGATGGGAATTCAAGGAAGGTTATGTTTGAGCTTGAAAGATCTTGAACAAGTAGCATTTAAATAAGCATATACAGAGAAGTGTCTTCTAAGTAGAAAGACGAACTTACATAAAGGATGAAACCATGTGGCCCATCCAAGGAACAGCCTTTAGTTTGAGTGGCTTGAGAAGAGAGCAGTTGTTTTCTCAAACCTAATTATGCATCTGAATCATCTGTAGAGATTAAAACAAAACAAAACAGCAAAGCCAAACATGCCCAGACTTGACTCCCAGAGATTCTGACTCAAATGCATATCTGGAGTGGATCTGCAGTGGATATCTGGAATAGTGCTTGGATTTTTTTTTTTTTTTTAGTTCTACTTGTAGTTCTGATGTGCAGCCAGGACTGAGAACCACTGGACTGGGATGAATGGGGAGAGGTAAGAGAGTATTAGATGAGGCCAGATAGTCTAGGGCCAGATGGTAAAAGGAAGTGGTATGTAAATACAATGAAAAATTCTCTCTTCCCTGACAGCTTCCCTATGTTGAAATATTTCTTTTTTAATTTTTTGCTGCCACTACTATTGCATGAAAGAAAATGAATTCCCACCATTGTCTATAAAAACAGGGATAAATGTTTTAAACCAGCTTTATAACTAAAAGACCTCTATTTTGCTTAAGGTAATATTTAACATAAACTAAGCTCAGGGCAGAGAGTGTACCTTCTGATCAGGTGTACCATCTACCATGCAGGGCCCTTAACAAATGTCCAGCAAAAATAATAAAAATACAAATTTTGACGGAAACATCTGCCAGGGACACTGAACAGTGGGTTCTTATTCTGGGTTGGTGATCCCATTATCCAATCAATCAGAATAGCAGCACATGCCCACCTCCAAGTGCTCTTCTGAACTCCCAGGTATCCCAGATTCTCTCTTTCAGGTAAAGGTTCTTCAGAACTTATCGGAGCAACAATCATTAAGGGACCTCTCCTTCCATCATAACCAGTTCCACAGGAAGCACCCTTTCTCCTACTCTTCCAAGGTTGAATACGCTTTCCCTTTACTATAGCATCTGCCTTCCATATAGTAGTTGTTCAATATTTTTAAATAAATGAATGTTATACTCTTTGAGGGCAGATAAAGGATGCTAATTGGCACCTTCATCACAATGCTAAGGGTTAGTGCCTTCTAATTTTCTACCTGTGGCACACATTTTTAAAAGGGCGTACAGACGTCTGTCTGTCAATGCAAGTTAAGGAGCTGTAAAGAGTGTTGGTCCAGTCAGCAAGTAAGGTGGAATCAGCAAAAAGGCAAAGGGAGGTTCAACCCACTTGTTTCTGGGAACAAACACACAGTAACACCCCCGCCCCAAGGAGGCCCAGTACTTGAACCTTGGATGGGACAAACTGCCAAGTGCTAAGGTAATGAGGTCTTCAGGCCTGGGCTCTGGTGACTAAACCACGTGTCCTGACTACATTGCTGGGTCAGCGAATCGTCCCGAGCGACCGAAGAGTGCACTTGGGCAAAGGGCGTCCATTCGCAGAAGGGAGTGCGATTTCTCCCCGAGGTCGCGCCCCGCCCGGCGCCCCCTCATGAGGCCCGCCGTCCCCGCCGCCCCGGGCCCCGGCCTCCCACTCGCTGACCCGCCTGGCTCGGGCCAGAGGACCCTTCCGCGGCTCTGGTTCCTGTTCCTCTTGTTCCTCTTCCCTCCGCGGGGCCCCGGGGTGCGTGCTCGGCGGCCGCCTGACCCGGAACTGCTGCGTGCCCGCGGACGCCGGCGGGATTCCCCGCGCTGGGGCGGGCGCGTCCGCCCGGTGCACGCTCCGCCGCCCCGCCCGTCCCTCCGCACGCGCCCCTGCTCTCCGGAGTTCCCCGGCCGGGCCCCCGCCCTTCGCAGCCTGCGGGCCCCGAGCCGGCGGGCCGATGCCGGGGCGGGGTCCGTGCGTCCCGGGACAGGTGGGTGAGGTGGGGCGGGCGTCGCCGCCGCCCACAGAGCCGCGGGGACGGGGCTTTGGACTCCAGGTGACACGCTCGCGGCTGCCCGGTTTCGCTCGGGCTCGGAGGCGGCCGCAGACGGAGTGTGCCACCGAAAGTGAACGGCGACAGGGAGGACGGGGAAACTGCTGTGGTGCGTGTCTGTCGGTCAGACTGTCGCAAAGGGGCGACGAGGCGTCGGTGGAGGGGCCGGGGGAGGCGGAGGTCACCGGACCGAGCACGGGACCCGGCGGTGACGTTTTGTGGAATTTCACAGAGCAGAAGGAAGGGTGGCGGTCACCGCCCCGCTTCTTTGAGTGTTTTTCAGAACTGGCGAAAGGAACTTCAGCGGGAGCCCTGTACGGTAGGGAGTGCAGGTTAGGCGAGGCGGCGGGAGAACACCCTCAAAGGCAAAAGGGTCACCAAAGGGGGTCAGCAGTGAGAGACCTGGGATGCGAGGGCAGGGGCTGGAGGTGAAAAATGTGCGTGGGGTGTGGGGTTGGGGGGCTGGGGTGGGGAATGAGTACGAAAGCAGGTAGGGAGCACGTCTGAGCCAAGTCACGGCCGTTTTTGCGATAATTGCCATACCTGGAGTACCGTGTAAATCCTAGCGGGGAATGTATCGGTCATCTCAGCTTTTATCTCCTTAAAAATGTGATTTTTAGGTGCAGCTCCGTTTAACCTATTGGATTTAAGGCCCCAACATTTCACATGAAGGGATGTGACCTAACATGCCAGTCCTGTCAGGGTTAATGATATTATTACATAAGTTGACACCCTGTAATTAAAAAACGGGACTTTGTCTAAGTCAACAAGTAATTCCCTATTTAAACTTTGCTATATGAAAAACAAAACAAAAACAGGAACTGTGGTTTTGCTGGAAAGATGTACAAATACTTTCAGAAAATGAATTAAAAATTGCTTTGCTTTAATTGTCATGGTTCTCTTATGGCAAATAGTGGACTAGCTTTTCTGGGAGGGGCCTAGATTTACTATTGTGGTTACATTTTTAGATCAAAGCAATTCTTTTTTTGTTGTTGTTGTGAGGAAGATCAGCCCTGAGCTAACATCCATGCCAATCCTCCTCTTTTTGCTGAGGAAGACCGGCTCTGAGCTAACATCTATTGCCAGTCCTCCTCCTTTTTTCTCCCCAAAGCCCCAGTAGATAGTTGTATGTCATAGTTGCACATCCTTCTAGTTGCTGTATGTGGGACGCGGCCTCAGCATGGCCGGAGAAGCGGTGCATCAGTGCGCTCCCGGGATCCGAACCTGGGCCGCCAGTAGCAGAGTGCGCACACTTAACCGCTAAGCCATGGGCCTGGCCCCCAAAGCAATTCTTTTTTTTTCCCTAGCCACAAATTTGTGTTGTAACTACAAGAAGATTGATATAATTTTGCATTCTTATGCCAGTTTTTCTTTACAGGTGATTTTTTTTTTTTTTTTTTGCACAGACGTCTTCCTTGAAGAACTTTGTACAGTTATTGAAGGATGGCAGAAGCCGTGTTGATTGATCTCTTTGGTTTGAAATTGAACTCTCAGAAAAACTATCATCAGGCACTACTGAAGACATTGAATGCTGTTCGATGCTACCATGCTGCCAAGGCCAAGTTCCTTTGCATAATGTGTTGCAGTAACATCAGCTGTGAAAAAGATGGTGACGATGATAATTGTGAATTAAAAACAAGCAATGGATTATCAACTCTCTTGAGAGAATTTGAGACTGTTAGCAATCCCAGCATGGCTGCCTGTTTGTATACCATTAAACAAAAAATTGATGAAAAAAATCTGAGCAGCATTAAGGTAATTGTACCCATATATCGGAAGACATTAATGAAGGCCTTTATTGATCAGCTCTTCACTGATGTTTACAATTTTGAGTTTGAAGATTTACAGGTGACTTTGAGGGGAGATCTTTTGAAACAGTCCACTGAAATAAACATGATCACAGCTCAAGAACTAGAAGCAATCCAGAATGAAATAGAAACATATTTGAGAAGTCTGCCAGCACTGAAAGGAGAATTAACCATTATCACATCTCCTTTGATCTCAGGTATGTTAAACACCATCTGTTGTTTTTACTGTGTACGTGAAAAACCAGTCTTTAGAGGTTGTTCGTTTCTTTTTTTCCTTCTTTCTTTTGTAGACTGTTGTGGCCTTATGTGCTCATTAGCATCAGTTGCAACAAGGGAGTGTCATGGAGGGCCTTGTGGTGTCAGGGATGTCAAAGGATAGCCCCTTCAAAGCCACCCTACATAAATAAGTTGCTTTATGCATATTTGGCTTTAAGAGAAATCCCCCAGCCCTCCTTTAAAATGAGATTCGTGACTCTAAGAATCTTCTATTTAGAAATTCTGAAACCTTAACTCCTTGGCAACATCATGAAAGAGTGGAATTTAAAACAGTCAATCTTACTTCTTGGTTAAAGGATATTTATTGTGAGCTATATGCTATTTGGTATAAGAAAGACAAATGGACCGAAGGTACCCTTTGAGAGCAATAATCTCGTAGGAAAGGTAAACAAACACAAAGCAGTATGTAATAACACATAGAGGTACAGAGTGCTGTAGAAATTAGATGCCAGATAAACAAATGCAGGTTGATGTGCTCAGGGAACGTCTTACTGAGAGACTGGGTTTGTGGGTCTTTATAGTCTTATGTATAATATATTTGTAATTTTCGCTGCTTATCTTTAACAGATATTTTCATACATGGATTTACTACAAGAACAGGTGGGATATCTTACATACCAACTCTTAGCTCATTCAATCTCTTCAGTAGTTCCAAACGGAGAGATCCCAAGGCTGTTGTTCGAGAAAATCTGCGGAGGTTGGGGAATGTGGCAGGATTTAATGCAGAGAAATTTTACCGAATAAAGGTAAAATTTTGTTTCATATTTTGGAAGATCTCAAGGATATTCTTGATTTTGCTAATGACTACATGGACTTTAATCAAGCTATTTAACTTGTGCATCTGGTGTTTTATCTAAAATTTTAGGATAATGCTTGTCATTTTTCTTAGATATATACACCATAGTGTAAAGATCAGTTCTATGATATATATATTTCACCTAGAGCTTGTCACATCTAAGAGTGTGGTTAATTCTCAGAGTATAGTATCACTGCCTTTTTTGATTTAGAAGGAAGGTTCCTGAATGGTGGGAGAGAAGGCCATTATTTTCTAAATCAATAAAGGAGGGACTAGGGTCACAAATGATGAGGTAATGATTTGTTTCTTACAGAATCCTAGCTTTACGTGAGTCTAGGAAAAGTAAAAATATCATTGATTTGGTGATTCATTTAACTTTTTTCAATAAAGTAGTACTGTGTGGAAAGTGCTGCAGTTAGAGATTTGCCCATCTCTAGTGGGAGGTGTTCGTGATGAATGGACTGTATTGAATTTGAAATGTTAAAGTCTGCTTTCCTTTGAATAAAGTATGCAAATATTACAATACCAAAAGTTAAATAAGTAAATTTATTTTACCATATATAGAAGTGATATATTTAGTGAATGCTAGTAATCTTAAACTGGTTATCTAATTTTGTGCAAAATACATACTTTCGGAAAATCTTATGGTATGAGAAATTCTACTTTCAAAACATTTTTATCGCACATTTTTGGTATTAGACTGATCATGCCAATGACGTGTGGATTATGGGAAGGAAGGAGCCTGAATCTTATGATGGAATCACCACAAATCAGAGAGGAGTCACAATAGCGGCTCTTGGTGCTGACTGTATACCGATAGTTTTTGCAGATCCTGTCAAAAAAGCATGTGGGGTTGCTCACTCTGGTAAGAGTACTTAATCATTTAGGATTTTATGAATTTTGTAGTACAGGAAAAGTTATAATTTCTTTCTGGTGGGCATTACAGACAAACAGTTAATTACTTCATATGGTGGTAAGTTTAAAGATAGGGGTAGAGCTAGTATACTTTTATTATAGGAGCAGATAAAAGGAGTACCTAAGTGAACTTATATGAATCAGAGTAGAATTCCCAAAGGAAGCAGTACCTAGGCTGATTCCTGAGGAATTTGTATGATTTGGCTAAGTGCCAGTGTTTCTCAGCAGGGTGCTATTAACATTTTGGGCAAGATAATCTTACACTGCAGACTAAGTTTGCATGGCTTTTGAAATTCTTAATGCCAGTAGCACCCACAGTTGTTGTAATAACCAAAAAAAAAAAGCTTCCATGCTTTTTAAAACACTCCCCAGGTTGTGGTACTGCCTCTGATTGAGAATCCTTAAAGTCTAGACAATAGGGAATAGGAAGGTTAGGCATGTTGCAGAAAGGTGTTCAGGAAGATGCAGCAGCATGTGTAAAGGTATGGAGGTAAGAAAAAGCAAGATATGTTTGGAAAACTGCATTTAGTTTAATGTGCTGTAGTCTAGTTTCTTTAACTAGAATTTTTAGATACTATGTTGTGTTAAAGTTATGGAATTTGTTTTCCAGGAAGCATTTTAAAATACTATTTAGATTATCCAGGGGTTATGATTCTATGTGAAATGAGGGATGATCTTTTGGATTTCCTTCTGTTTGTAAATCGATGACTACTTTGCCTTTTTATACTATAGATAAATAAGAAAGTAGTGTATTTTGCTTTTGACCTAGCTAAAGTAATGGAATTGGATGACTAGAAGTCAGGTTTACTATTTGACATTGTGAAAAGTTATTTAAAATTTGACTCTTAGTTCCTGGATATAAAGTAGGAATATTATTTGTTACTTCTTAGGTTTTGAAACATTAAGTTTTAAAATATGAAAGATTACAGCTGTCAAAATGCAACAATCTTGCAAAAGAACCAAGTTAGATGTCTCACACTTCCTGATTTCAAAACTTATTTTAAAGCTACAGTAATCAAAACAGTACGGTACTGGCATAAAGACAGACGTATAGACCAATGGAATAGAATAGAAAGTAAACCCTTGCATATATGGTCAAATGATTTTCAACAGGGTACCTAGACTATACTATGGGGAAAGGACAGTCTCTTTAACAAATGGTGCTGGCAAAACTGATATTTAACATGTAAAAGAATGATGTTGCACCCTTATCTTACATCATACATGAAAATTAACTCAAAATGGATCAAAGACCTAAATGTAAGAGCTAAAACCATAAAACTCGTAGAAGAAAACATTGTGATCTTGGATTAGGCAATAGTTTCTTAGATATGACACCAAAAGCACAAGCAACAACAGTAAAAATAGATAAATTGGATTTCATCAAAATGAAAAACTTCTGTGCATCAAAGGACACAGTCAACAAAGTGAAATGGCAACCCACAGAATGGGAGAAAATGTTTGCAATTCATGTATCTGAGAAGGGGTTAATTTCCAGAATATATGAAGAACTATACCTCAACAGCAACAACAAAAAACAACTCAATTAAAAAAAATAGGCAAAAGACTTCAGTAGATATTTCTCCAAAGACAATATGCAAATGGCCAACAAGCATGTAAAAAGATGCTCAATATCACTAATAATTAGGGAAATGCAAGCAAAACCACAGTGAAATATTACTTCACACCCATTAGGATGGCTAATATTTAAAAAAAATTAGAAAGAAAACAGAAAATAAGTGTTGGTGAGGTTGTGGAGAAATCGGAACCCTCGTGCACGATTGGTGGGAATGTAAGATAGGGCCTCTGCTATGGAAAACAATGTGGTTCCTCAAGAAAGAATTACCATATTATCCAGTAATTCCACTTTTGAGTGTATATCCAAAAGAATTGAAAGCAGTATCTCGAAGAGATATTTGCACACTTGTGCTCATAGCAGAATTATTCTCAAAAGCTAAGAGGTGGAAGCAACCCACCTCTTATATACATACAATGGAATTTATTCAGCCTTAAAAAGGAAGGAAATCCTGACACACGCTACAGCATGGATGAACCTTGACAATATTATGCTAAGTGAAATAAGCCAATCACAAAAAGACAAATATCGTATGATTCCACTTATGTGAGGTATCTAGAGTAGTCAAATTCATAGAAAAAGTAGAATAGTAGTAGCCAGGGGCTGGGGGAAGTTATTGTTTAATGGATATAGTTTCAGTTTTGTAAGATGAAAAAGTTTTGGAGATTGGTTACACAACAATGTGAATATACTTAACACTCCTGAAGTATACACTTAAAAATAGTTAAAATGGTAAATTTTACGTTATATCTTATTTCCTACAATTTTTAGAAATGTGAAAAACAAGTGAAGGAGAGAGAGAAGACTAAGAAGGTATAATCCCAGTGGAAATTAAAGGTATAGAACATTTTTAAAAGAAAGTGGAAGGGACCTCTAATTAAATGTCACTTCCATGTCAGGTGCTTCCTATAGTATACCTCAGTTAAAAACCAGTATTTTTATGAGTTATTTGATCATCTAGCTTAATTAATTTTGTGATTCATTTACTATTTCTGGACTTTGAAAAATGCATAAACTGACTCTGCCCATTTTCAACTTACATATAAATTAAGGTGAAGTTTTGTTATGTTTTAACTTTCCTTATCTCTTTTTCTTGCTATTGACCAGGTTGGAGAGGTACTTTGTTAGGTGTTGCTATGGCTACAGTGAATGCTATGATAGCAGAATACGGCTGTAGTTTAGAAGACATTATTGTTGTACTGGGACCTTCAATAGGACCTTGCTGTTTTACTCTTCCAAGGGAATCAGCAAAAGCATTTCATAATCTTGATCCCGGATGTGTACGGCTATTTGACTCGCCACATCCCTATGTTGACATTTGTAAAGCCACCAGGTATGTTTGATTTCATTCTGGAACTGTAAGTTTGGTTATTACTTATTGCTTCTAAAATGATAGTTATTTTAGAGAACAATTAGTAATTCCAAGAAAAATTTAGGTGGCGGGTATTTAAGTAGCTGACATACACACCTACACAAAAACTCATTTTAAATATAAAATCTATTCTCATTTAAGTTTGAATAACAGAAATTTTCCAGTCTGGTATCTGTTATTGATTTAAAAGTGAAGGAAGAAACAGTTGGCATATAGTTTTATGAGTTCTACTTAAACTTCTTATAGAAAAAGTTGGCCATATACTTTCCTTCACAGCCATTCCTCAAATTCCCTAAATAAACTATCAGGAAACTGATATTTTAAAATTATTCTTATTCTTTAATTAACTAGAGGAATACATTTCTTAGCAAAAAATATTAGCGAATATAAATACATAGTGACTTTCAATTTTTTATGGTTCCTTGCATTTTTGAATTTATGAAGTTTACTTGTCATTTCTACAAAGGAAAATTGATGTCTGATTTGAATTGTGTTTCTATTCTTGTGAGTAAAACCTTGCCTAGTTTCTGCCTCATTAGTATGTAAGTAGAAAGGATTGAAATTGATTCTTAAGTGTGACTTGTGGAATAAGTATCACTAATTTATAGTCATTTTTCATACCATAAAGTATTTATGGAGAGGCAAGTTTTCTGTGAAAAATCTGGTTAATAGGAGGAAAGAAGATGGGAAAGCCAGATGACTAAAAAGTATGCTGTGTCTGAGTCAAATGAATCTTGTCTACAAATACTCTGGTAACTTTAGAAGTTTTTTCTTAAATAAGTACTTGATTTTGATGAAACTCTGTACCCAGATCCTGTCTGCAGGACAATATGGAGGTTGTACAGTTCATATATGAACTTAAATGATAAATGGTGATGCAATCTACCATTTCCTCTCTAGTCCATGTTCTGTAATTGAATAATAATTTGCATTGTTCTAAGCAGATCTTTCCCAGAATTCTTTACCACCAATATCCATAATTTTTTTATATTGCTTTGGCTATTGGTAAAATAAACTCTTGCTATCTTTTGAAAAATCTTTATCCTAAGGATTCTTCTAGAACGGGGAGGAATTCTTCCACAGAATATTCAGGACCTGAACCAAGATCTCAGCCTTTGTACATCCTGCCATCCTGACAAGTTTTTCTCCCATGTCCGAGATGGCCTTAATTTTGGTACACAGATTGGCTTCATATCAATTAGAGAATGAGGTACAGTAGTTTCTCTCTCTCCTTTATTCTCCTCCCCATCTCTCCCCTCCCCTCTCTCCTTCTTCCTCTTTCCACCTTTCCCTCCCCTCATTTTTAAAAATAATTAATTATATTTAACTTCTTTATTCCTATAGCAAGACTTATTTCTACTTTTAGTGGAGCAATAGTAGTAGAAAAGTTGATTTTCAGTGACATACTCTAATATAAAGCGCAGCCACTCCTTTTCCTACTTAATAAAGAATAATCAGGCAGATATATATTAAAGGTATAAAAATAAAATAATTTATTCTTTAAAAAATCCTGGGGCCAGGCCCAGTGGCCCAGTGGTTAAGTTCAGCACATTCCGCTTTGGTGGCCTGGTTCAGTTCCTGGGCGCAGACCTACACCACTTGTCTGTCAGTGGTCATGCTGTGGCGGTGGCTCACATATGAAAAAAACAGGAAGATTGGCAACAGGTGTTAACTCACAGCAAATCTTCCTCAGTGAAAAAAAAAATCCTGCCTCTCTGTCTCTCTCTCTCTCTATATATATGCATGGCATTTATCTCTCCTATGTACTTGATATCTGTACATTTTCTGTCATAATATCTTTATGCTTTTTTGATTTTTGAGACTCTACATAAAGATTCTAAATTCTAGAATAAGAAGAAGTCCTCATATACACAGACTGACTTCGTTTTCATCTAGATTTCCAACTGATTATCTACAGCAGGAGTTGGCGAATTTTCTTTAGAGGGCCAGACAGTAAATGTTGTAGGTTTTGTGGGACATACAGTCTCTGTCTCAACTATTTAACTCTGCTATTGTAGAGCAAAAGCAGACAGGAACAATATGGAAATGAGTGAGTATTGCTGTGTTTCAGTAAAACTTTATTTACAAAAACAAGTGAAGGGCCAGGTTTGGCCCATAGGCTGTAGTTTGCTGACACCTGATTTACAGTCATAGAGCAAAATTAAGTGTAATTTCTTGAAATTAGTATTTATTAGAGATTTTTTAGAGGTTTTTTTAAGAATTATACAAAAATATTTCATGACAATGATTTAGCACTGACCTTTTAGCATATAAATCTAATTTTCCTTAAGGTTGCTTTGGACTGAATCAATGTTTAGTCTTCACAGTGTCTTTAACTCTTTAATATACTTAGTGATTCTTACCTTGATATTCTAATAGCACTAGTAAGGTCTCATATATGATTTCTATATATTTTACAGATACTTGACGGGATTTTTGCATAACTGTTTTCTGCCTCCTTCCAAACTGACTGCAAGAGAGAAATTTAGCTGTTTGATTTACTTAAAACCAAAAGTATTACATGGATAATTCCTCTTTAGGGTGTATTTTCACTATTATCCAAAGCCAAATGATTTTCATTTGATTCTAACAATAATTGACAAAAAAATCAGTGTGATGTAGCTTATATGTTATACAGATAAGGATTATTTTTAAAGTTTGTTCTGTTTGTTACATAAACAGGAATAGATCTGTTCAGTTCAGTATTTATTGAGCAGCCTGTATTTGTCAACCATTGTGTGAAGCATAGGTGAAATCAAAACGAATTAGACTTTTTCCTTGTGCATCTAACGCAGTGGAGGAGATAAACACTTGTAACACTTTAATTTTAATAGCAGAAGAGTACAGAAGAAGGAAGGATTAATTCTGTCTGGAAGGCAGGATAGAGAAGATATTACAGAGAAAATAACTATCATATGGGCCTGAAGGCTGTACAGGCTTTTGACAAGTGAAGAACAACCATAACAGGTGGCGGGAACACCAGGAACTAGGGCATGAAACTGGAAGTGTTTAAAATGCCCTAGAAGGAGAAGGGTGTGGTCAGGAGCTACAGGAAAAACAGGTTGGAAAAAGATTAGTTAGGGTCTCAAATGCCATGTCAAAAGAGTTAGGAGTTTATTTTCCAGGCAAAGAATAGGCATAAAAAGTTGGGGAGTGTTTTTATCTCCTTGGCATCATATTTAACAGGATGGATTTAAATTGTGGAAGACCAAAGCAGAGAGACTAGTTAAGAGTCAGTCAAAATACTTTAAAAAAGAAATAATGAAACCTGAATGCAGTGGAAATTAAAGTGGAGAAGAGAGTAGATGGATTAGAGAGACATTTCGGAGATGGCATCCACAGCTCCTGTTACTAGATAATAGAGATTGAGAGGTGAGGAGGAGTGAAGAAGTCATTGATGTCGCCTTCATTTCTACTTGGCTGACTACCAAGATTGGCAACAAAGAGGGACAAGGGAGAAGGGTAATGAGTTTGACATGAGACTGAAGGACATCCGGATGGAAATAGTTGGTCAACAATTAGAAATATAGCCCTGGGACCTAGGACGGAACTGGGAAAAAGACACAGATTTAGAAGGTGGTTTTGCAGAGATGATGCCTGAGTCTGTTGGAGTAGGCTAAAATCTAGGCGGCAATATAGGGTGAGCAAAAAGGAGGCCCAAGGATGAAACCTCTACACCTGCATTTGAAGAACAAGAAGCTGAACCAGTAAAAAAGATGAATCATAGAAGTAAGAAAAAAAATAGAATACAGTAGACCCCCCCTTATCCAAGTTTTCAGTTACCCACAGTCAACCGTGGTCTGAAAATATTAAATGGAAAGCTCTGGAAATAAATGATTGGTTTTAAATTGCACGCTATTCTGAGTAGCGTGATGAAATCTCGCACCATCCTGCTTCCTCTGGACGTGAATCATCCCTTTGCTTAGCAGATCCACGCTGTATATCCTACCTGCCTGTTAGTGCCTCAGCCGACTGGGTTATCAGATGGACTGTCACAGTAGTGGCTTCGGTGTAGGGTTCGGTACTATCGTTGATTTCAGGCATCCACTGGGGGTCTTGGAACATATCCCCCCATGGATAAGGGGAGACTACTATATATACATTTTGAAGAAAGAAGCCAGCATCTCTGTGAGAGGTACTCAAAAAGAAATCTTCAGAGATAAAATGAGGACTGAGAAGAAATCAATAGATTAGCCATATTGAAGCTATTCTAAGGCAGTGGTGACGGAGTCAGATTTCAGTTCATTGAGGAAGGGGATGCATAAGAATCCACTCTTCTTTGATAGAAAATAAAGCACGAGGGGCTGCATTTTGAAGGAAGAGGTATATGTATTTTTGGGATGAGTAGTTTTAAGTATATTTGCAGGCTGAGGAAAGGAGTCAAGCTGTTTTTCACTTGGGAGAAATGGTATATATGTAGCACATATTTTTAATGTGAGTTGTCACATTACATCTTAAAAAGATTTCTTATGCATATTTCTTAAATGAACATGCAGTACGATAACAGAAAATTACATTTGTTTGGTATTTACAAAGGACTTGGATGTACATTATCTCATTTTATCTTTACAGCTACTCTGAAATGCATAGGTCAGGTGTTACTCCTTTTATTCAGGTGAGAAAACTGAGCCTCATTGAGGTGGAGGTTAAAATCACATAATTTGTGATAACATTAAGATTTGAACCCACATTTTGTGACTCCAAATCTCATTACAGATTTTACAATTAAAGCTATCTAAATTAAATTTTTATTTTCAACTTTTTGTTAATGTTTATTCATACAATCAGTCAAAATTTTGTTGCAGTACTAGGATAGGTTAAAAAAATACAGTTGTAGCCTTCAAGATGTTTAATATCCATGAAAGGTGACAGTCAGTAAACCAACAATTCCAATACTGTGGTATGTGTTGTAATGTTGTCACAACCTGGTACCTTGTTTAGTTTAATTCGTCTATGCAACATATAGCTCAGCGTGAAATTTAAATAAAATACCTCATTTCTTCCAATTCAGAGAAGGCATGAAACACAAAACATAGGGCAACAATTTCAAACTCATGCTTTAAATTCATTTGTTTAATTAATAAAGATTAAGGAATAATTTCACACATTGAGAAAGACTGATAGTTTTCCAGTTCTTCACTGTGCATTATTTTGTTTGAAGTTTGCAGATTTACAGAGTATTAGACAGCCATATTTCACTTTTTGTACCAAAATATTCCAAAACCAAATAAAAATTATGTTTGGTTATGATTTTGGATTATCTGTGCCAAATCATATAATGAAAATTTGTGTCCTAGCTCTTTTACTGCGTGAAAAGTATTGATCAGTAACTGAGAGACAGAATGGCTGGGTTGTTAAATAATCATATCTTATTGCTTCTACAAGATCTTTGTCACTCTTAAGCATTTGTATATAGGTTTCTGAGACTTTTGGGGCACAACCACAATGATGATTTTTAAAAAGCTTTGTTTTGTTTTCAATCTAAGCACTGCTGCTAACTGTACATAGGAAATATTGGTGGTTGTTTTATTAAGAAGAGCAATTAAGGAGCCAGCGCTGATGGTATAGTGGTTGAAGTTTAGTGCTCACCACTTCGGTGGCCCAGGTCCGCTTCCTGGTCGCAGACCCACACCACCCATCTGTCAGTTGCCATGCTGTGACAGCAGCTCACATAGAAGAACTAGAAGGACTTACAACTAGGATATACAACCATGCACTGGGGCTCTGGGGAGGGAAAAAAAAGAGAGCAATTAAGTTTGCAAATCAGTGAGAGTTCATGACATTCTTTTGGAGGTACTATGATTTTTTTGGAGGTACTATCAAACTAAAATTGATCTAATTGTAATTTTAAATTGTGAAGAATAGCTTAGTAACTAAATATGCTATACTCCAGTGCTTTATAAAACAAATGAAAAAATTATCTTTCCCCTAGGAGGCTGTACGAATAGTTCTACTCTGGTTCTTGGTATAAAGTTGAAGCAATCTTAATATCTGTATTTACTTGTACAAAAAAAAAAGGAGAGGCACTTAATGAATGTACTGCTCTTACTTGAGATGCAGCCTATTGTAGTTCAAGTAGATAAAAGCATTTAGGAACCCTCACTCACCTGGATCTCCCTTCTACAGAATCTCCAGTAACTGCTTTTCTGTAAGTAGATGTTTTGAAAAAAAAATTCAGAGAAGCTTATTCTGTGTCATGACAAAAACATAAATAAGACCCATGGATTCAGAAGCTGCAAGATAAGATGACAGTGACATATGAATTACATCATTTTATATCTCAAAGTGGGATTTGATATTTGTTTTCATGTGGTTGTCCTAAAGTTATACTTACAGTGTATCCATCCTACTTTTTATGTGAACTCTTAAAGAATGCCACCAATCTATGGAAGTCTAGCATTTTGAAGAAAGCACTGCTCAGTTACCTGTGTGTTTGTGTGTGTGCATACGTGGATCTGTGTGTGTGTGTGTGTGTGCCCTAAATGGCAAACAGGAAATATGTATGTGCTCTCTATGATGTAGAGCCTCTTTGCTTCAGCTAATGTCAATTCACACAAGACACATTGGATGCAGTGGAATTCTAGATTGCTCTTCATGAAATTTTTGTAAATTGTGCAGTAAAGAATGGGAATTGTCTGTATGTTTACTGTATGTGTTTATGGGAGCTCTGGTCCAGAGCACGTACGTTTCCATTGTAGGCAGAGTTTTAAAACTTTACTTGTGATTTCAAAGATGAGGCAGCTGCTATAAGTAATGCATTGTTCTGTGCTAGGTCATTGCTTAATGAAGGAAAAAGAAATCTGCCAGTATTGATTTTTCCAGATTAACGTATTTAGTTTGGACTCACAATGATCACGTGTCAATTTTGTGGAGAACAACTTTTCATAGTCTCCTTAGATGTATTTTCTTTGTAGGGAAAGAAATGCTTACATCACATTTCCTGTGTCCCAGTGCCAAGTGCCTGAGGTGAACTATGTCCTTTCTGTATGTGGAGCAGGCTTTTTTGTTTTATTTACTTCTCAGAAATCTGGGGTGTCCACTTACTGTGTTTTATTAAATAATTAAAATTTCCAGCAGACTCCATAGCTCAAAATACCACATTCCTTTCTAACAAAAGACTACTCTCATTTCCTGAGAAACATTTGTAGAAAATAGATTTGCTCATACTCTCATTTCTTGGGAAACATTTGTAGAAAATAGATTTGCTCATAGTGACAATTGAATTTTTAATATCCTCCATTTTCTTAATTCTTAGTTTTGCATCACACCCCACCTCAGTTTACATCTTACCAGCACTTCCTTGTTCTTTTACTCTCCTTAAACACATATTTTAGAGTTGTATTTTCTTACACCCCCATCATCCTTGTTTCTATAATTGATGTTTCCTATTCATAAGGTAACTTCATTCTTTGAATTTTCTGGTTTTAAATATTCAGACTTGGCTGCACAGTTGCTCGTTAGACATATCCTATGGGCCCCTCAAATGTGACATCCTCCAAACTTAACTCATCATTTCCCCTCCAAAACCTGCTCCCCTCTGGTGTTCTGTCCCAGACAATGAAATCTTTATTCTTGCAGTTGCCTGTCCAGAAACCCAAAAGGGTTTCTGAATGCCACCCTTTCTTCACCCCTTCCCTTCCCACACTACTGAGTTCGTAAATCTACCATCTGTTCCTGCGTCTCTATCTCAACTGCCACAGACACTCAGATCTTCATCTCTTATCTACATCATTGGAGCACCCTTCTAACTAGGCCTTCATCATTGCATCCCTCCTCACACTGCCATTATTGATTGCTCTAAATTGCAAATCTGGTCATATTACATCCTTCAAAATTACTTTATGGCTTTTCCACTGATAGAGACCTTCTCACTAAAGTTTATAAGTGCTCATGATCTCACCTCTGCTTATCTCTTCAATTTCCACCACTCCCCACTCTACACCATATATTCTAGCCATTCTTTACTTTTTTCATTTCCTTGAATTTGCCATTAAGCTAGATCAGACCACAGAGGTTGGTTTGCATTCAAAGACTGACTAGAACTCAAATTTGGTTCAAGGTTACTTTCACTTAGCCTTTCTACTAAATTAGCAAACAAGCTGTACCAAGAACACATACAACATAAACATCTAAGTGAATGGATACAGCACTCTAGTGTCTCCCTAGTGTCTGATGGAGATATAGCCAAACTTCACTTGTCACCGTAGTACATACACAGTGAGAAGTATGCCATGCCGTATACAAACGCTCAGTAGTTTTTGTTCCATTGGGCAGGGTGAGGGGCCATGTTAATGTTCAAAGGTCTATGTTCTAGCATATAAGGAAAGTTTTCCTGTATCTAAAAACATGAACATGGGCTGGCCCCGTGGCTTAGTGGTTAAGTGCGCGCGCTCTGCTACTGGTGGCCCGGGTTCGGATCCCGGGTGCGCACCGACGCACCGCTTCTCCGGCCATGCTGAGGCCGCGTCCCACATACAGCAACTAGAAGGATGTGCAGCTATGACATACAACTATCTACTGGGGCTTTGGGGGGAAAAATAAATAAATCTTGAAAAAAAAATAAAAATAAAAACATGAACAATTTGGTTTTTCTCTGTCATTGGGTCCCCAGCAGGTCTTACGGTGATCCTCTGCAGCCATGTTTT